GATACCGTGAAATGGTGCAGTGGATAACAGTATTCATGGATATGAGGATGATAAAAAGGAGTTTCCCTCGATTTTAAAACAGTTACTACCGTACGTAAGATGTCCGAAGAAACATTCCGAACAAATCCATAATCATTACAAGATACAAAGGGACTGTTTTGGCAGTAATGCACAAGCATAAACCTATATTTCAACAGTACTGCCTTGCAACATAAATATGTTATGTTTTGGGAAATGTCTTCTTCAGGGCAGAGAGATTGACTGACTTGCACAGTAAAACACTGGCAAGCCAGACTTAGGCAGCACTGGTCTGGCTAGCTGCTACAATAATGAAACCAATACGAACAACACTCTGCATGACACCTATTATTAAAAACATCTATTTATTGTAATTTAAATATAAAAAATGCGGTAAAACAATGGTGGTGAGATGTTAACTCCTCGCTTGGTGTACAAGTCTTGGGTTCGATCCCGACCCTGACGCTTGTATATTTGGATGTGCATGTGTCTCTCCCGGTGGTCGCTTGGATTTTTCTCCGGGTCCTCCAGTTTTTCCCTCCACATTTAGAATCAATATGCATTTTGAGTATTTGGCTGCTATGCATTTTGTTGAGCTATCATTTGTAGCCAGGACGCTTATGAAAAAGAGCTTTATAGACCAGCAGGCCTTACCTGGTAAAATAAGATTAGTTTAAAGTTTATTTATTTGGGCAATATGGTGTGGCTATATAGAGCACTTCTAAAGTTTATCCAGCCATACCTGCAGTCCCCCCCTCCCCAAACAGGCCCAACCCCTTGGTACGGGGGGGGGGTAACCAGAGAGAGGGGCCTAAAGAATAAGGGGCAGGGCCTAAAAAGAAAAGGCACGGAACCAAAAGAGGACATTGGGCCTAATGAGGAAAGGGCGGGGCCTACAGAATTCCCTTTTGATTTATGGTAATAGGATACAATAAGTGCAGCAGGCAGCATTCCTTTAGTGCTGCAATGTCGGCCACAGGCCAACTCGTTGTATTGTGTTGCCATCCACGTCGTAAACCAAATAGTATCCTGAAGCAAACAATACACACGACCACCCGACTTCAATAAAATAATAAATTCCAACTAAAATCGAAGCTTGAAAGTCGACACGCTATCACGAACATAGCTGCTTTGAAGGAGATACAAGACACGTGTAATACTTGGCGAGCAGAGTGGAAGTGGGGGCAGGAAAGAACTGCTTCCACTCGATGTTATTTAGCCGACCTATGGGCAGCTAAATTCGAAATCCGTCTCACTGGGATTTTACTGTATGTGGAAATTACACCTTACATTTTAGACCCTGAGAGAAAACTGGGCCATTTTAAGAAAGTTTACAAAAAAAAAGTTTTGAATTGAAATGTGAAAGTGTTCTACAGCAGACCTATTTGATAACAAGCACAGGCAGATGTCTCCTACAAACTACATCATTTGTAAAAAGCTTAGGATAAAAAATAACCAGGTAAAATCTAACTTTGTTTAAGCATTTGCAGTGTGTATCTTTTTATCACTATGAAAACGTTACGTTCCAAGAGCAGAATCAGTACAGTATTTATAGGAGTTAGCAAAACCACATAGTACAACTGGATTAAAGCCAAAAATATATTTATGGATGCTATATCGCTCTGACAGTTAAAACATTGAGGCAATATAAAAAAGCACCCTATGAATTAGCATAAAAAGACAAATACAGTACAGTTAAATTGTTGTCATCCATGACAGGGAGGCAGGGTCATGGAAATGGAATTCATGAACTCCGGTGACCTGAGCTCATACAAGCCATGGGAAACATTACTTAAAAATCGTGTCCGAACCGTTCCTGATTCTCCCACTTTACCAACTTACACTGACCAGCCATGGTGAGGCATGGTAAAAAAACAACCCCCATGGCCGATAGTGTTGGGATGCCTTCAACATCGGATTGGCAAGGGCTGTCAATTATTTTAAGTATTTAGTAGTTCCCTCTGGGCAACTAAAATTACCCAAGGTCTGTTCACCTTGAGTGCCTCGTCCCTGTGCTTTCTGGAGTGCCCTATAGAATGTGTCACATGCCACACGTAACACAATGAGTGGTGTCCATACATTAAAATAACCAAACACGACAGACACTGCACAACATGGACGATGACTCTATCTGCCTCACAAAACCATTACCGGAAAAATGAAGCATTTGTGCTTCAGTAATATCAACACAACTTTATATGAAAGTTGTCTCATACTGCAACATTTTTACAAGTTACCATGCCCCTGTTACATATGGACAGAGCATTAAAGACATTCAGCTTTCGTTCGAAAGCTTTAAAAAAAGAACACGTTTGTCCACAATGTCAACCTTTTCGTTAAAAGAACATGATCACTCTCAGACGAGTCTCCAGATTCATTAACAGTTGTGTATCCCGGCCACTTAAGTGTGAGATGTGCATTGTGCCTAACAGTCGCAATAAACATCCGAATACTGTTACACAGCAGTGGCCAGACGGATTAGGGGTTAACAAACATCCCCGACAGGGCACCGAGCCAACAACCACTCTAATCGTGGGTTGGAATCTTGGCAACTGCGTTTTTAAGCAGGGACTTGCTGGTCTCAACCAAGTGATTAATGACAACAACAAGTAACGTGCAATGTTCATTTTGAAATATTCAAGTCCTTCAGACTACAACTCTGCGTTTGTCATTCAATACGTTTAATCGTCATAAAGATGGCTTTTGTATTATGTGCTACAAGAGGGAATTCTTTTAAAGGGAATTCAAAAGCAGTGGTGTGGCATAACTTTCGAGGCCGTTCCCTGGCGTTATGTTATATGCTGCTCACTGACCGTCTCACGATGTGATATGACAATATAATTGTACCATAACTGGGCATGAAAGAAAGTGTTTACAATTCCAAGTGGACTATGGTACCGAAGACAGCGGAGCACCTCGCCTAATCTCCCTCGCGTGCATGTTGGAGAGATGAGGCAATTCATTTGAGAATTTGGCCTGTCTGCAGCTTGTCCCACGGAACTTCGTAGACATCACTATTGGCAACAACCAAAATCACGGTTCAGTGATAGTATTCATTCTGGCTCACGCGACTTTACTATGCATGACCAATCCGTATATAAACAATGCATTATATGCACCACAGGGACATCGTTCAACAGTATGTTGTTGATATTCTTTGTGTCTTTTGGTAAAGTCACGTAGATAGGTACAAATTAATAAAAAATATATATATAAAATAAACCAAAAAAACTTAAGACGTTTCGATCACAACACAAGCGATCGTCATCAGGTAACGTCCTGATGACGATCGCTTGTGTTGTGAACGAAACGTGCACTTTACCGAAAGACCCAAACAATATGAATTACTGCAGTCACGAAAGCTTTAAGTCAAGATTTAGTATGTTGTTGAATATATTGCGCCGACTACACCAAGCCAGAGGTGATAGCTTATAGTCAACAGGCACCTTCTGGAAAGGTACTTTATATCACGGCTGTATTTTAGTCGGTAAAGCAAAAAAAATACGAAGAGATATAAACCTTTATTTTCAAGTCTGTATTACCGTAACGTAATCGATTGTGGTCAGCGATCTGCACTCTTGAACCTGGCGTTCCGAGTTCGATTCCGGGCCAGGGGTAACATCCTTTTAACAACCAGCAGGGTGAAAATTTGGGTCCAAGAAACCTAAATGATCGAAACGCCGTGAAGAGGCTTTTTTAATCCAACAGTGGAACTTTAAAATATTGCCGTACCGTTGTGACTAGTTACGAAAGACTGTTCATTGTGCGTTTTTTTGTACTTGGGTACTTGAACGCATTCGCTTCACTTGTTTCTATTGTTGAGATATCACTTGTTGACAATATAGTCTCGTATCACCTGGAGATAAGAACGTCGTCACTCACCAGGGGACACTCAACACAGGCGAGGAGCAGCAGCAGCAGAAAAACGCCGACACGATCCACACAATAGACACGTGAGATCGGGGATGGCTATGGTGGCGGCCACTGCTCTAAACAACACAATATTAACGTCCTGCTCGTATTCTAGTAGCCGTAATTAGGCAGAGAAAACCAGCTGCCCAAGCAAGCAAAGGCCCTGGACGTATCCAGCAGGCGACAAAACGACTTAACTACTGTACAACAACACAAACTCCGACAAACAAAATGTGATTAAAACGGAAGCGATCACATTTGCTTAGCGCAATTCTTAATTTAAAAAAAAGCGTCTGTAACGCAACAACAATAACACGCTCAAACAACAGAAACGAATACCAGAACAAAGACCGCAAACGGGGGCTTCACAAAGCAAACAAAGTTTAGAAAGCAACAATAAAAACACTGAAGCGACGTAGGAGGCAACAGCAGCGGTGACCACAGAAGAAAGCAAGGTCAGCAAAAGCAGACGAAAACTAAAATAGCGACAGGGACGGAACCAAAATAAGGCGCAAGCAGCAATAGACGACGGACGAGAAGCGAAACGAAAACTTCACCACCACCAGAGAACAAGACAAAGATCCCCCTCCGTTGTAGCCCTGTAACAAGACTGTTGTGGGACAATTGCGGTTAGCGAGCACCTATCAAGGCCGGCACTGTGGCACACGAGGGCGATAGTGGTGGTGGAGGAGGGGGGGGGGAGCAACACCACGCCCGGCCGTCTTTGTCTCCCCAGTGGCGCTATCGAGACACGCACAGAAACAATAACGAAACAAGAGCGGCACGCGGGCACGATAAGACCCAACACCGGCCAAGAAAAAGTACAAGGCTAACAACTAAAGCAACAAATACAGCACCACCAACAACAACAACAAGAGAGAGCAGCGTGGTGCTTCTGTTTTAAAGTTGCGGCCCCTCCGTGATGGAGCTCCCTCCTCGAGTGCCTGCGCCTCGCTGCGAGACCGGGGCAGTCTGCGCGTTCCCTGAGTGAGTGTGTGTGTGGCTGTTGTAGCCAGCAACAGCACCCCCACACCCTGCTTGCCTGTGCCCGTGTAATCTGTGCGCCATGCCTGTTTGCCTCCGATGCTGGAGTGAGTTGGGGGCGAAAGATTGTTCTTCTCGGCCGAAGTTTCCACTACAACGCGGCCTAGGCCCGCGGCGCCGCGCGCCAAGCCGTCGAGACGGCTCGCCCACGCGAGCTCCACGAGTGGCGAGAGACGACGGCGGAGAGACGACGGCCGTGCAGGAGTTAAAAAAGCGCCAAAAAGGTCCCCGAGGACGGGCTCGGGACGAGGAGACACCGCCACACGGGGGATGGGGGGGGAGTGATCGTTCCTCTGCCTCGCTGCCGCCACGAGGGGGTGGCGGAGTGGGCGGTGCGTTGGCAGCGGGGCTGGGGGGGGGAGGAGCCACCGCGAGTATTGCCACGCCCATCGCCACCGCTGGGATGGGATTGTGGCGATTCTGGAAGACGATTGGAAAACAAAACAAGATTTTTAAACAAACTTTGTTCCGTTTGGTTGTTTTTTTTCCCATCGACTGTCTGTTTCACTTGAAAGTGTACTCTCCCATTTTGGTTTGTCTCGTTCGTCACAGCAAAGGTTGCTGCTGGTCAGCGAGGCGCGTGGCGTTTCTCTCATTGCATTTATGGCTTTTATTTTGGTGATTTCGAAAACGTTTTTTTTTGGTTTGGCCATGTTTTTGTTTATTGTAGTACGGAGTTAGACTGATGGCCTTAATCTTAGTTGTCTTGTGGTTGTTGTTTTACTTTCATCCCACTGGGATTTTTGCACACAGCGTTGGTGTACGGTGCTATTTCAGGAATATTGTGATGTTTTTTTCCTGGATTTTATGTTTGCACAGTCACATAATCACTTTAATGTTTTCTTGTTCATGTTTTTGTTTTTTGTTGTTGTTGCGTTTGCACCCGATTCGAGAGCCGAATGGCTCACAGGGTTATGCCAAATAAATGGAACTAAAAAAATGGAACTAAAATGAAACTTCTCTCGAGTAATTTACGCTGTTGCGCCTCGAGGGATGTTGGGTACCATCTTTATTATTATTTTTTCCCACCAAAAACAAGCATTGTTGAATTGTGTGTGTGAGAATTATTTTCGATGTGCGCACATTATATGTAAATACGGTACGATGTAAATTTGTGATTCGCACATCAGATTAAAAATACCAAGAACACGCTAGATCAAACAAGACATTGAATCATGACAATTCACCAAATTGCTGTAGTGTGTACACGTTTAATAATGCTGCTGATGAAGATGATGGATGGATGTCCATCATAATCATGCTGTTTATGACCTTGCAGCTGATGTTAATGATTGACGAATTATTGTTGGAAGATTATGGCGATGTGGATGATGATGATAATTCTGCTGATGGCCAGATTGTGATGTTTGTTTTGTCCAGGAATTATCACTTGAGTTTTAAGAACATTTTATATTCACTGTTGTTGGCCAATTCTGAGTTTTTTCGATACGTGGAATTACAAAGCAAATTCATCCTATTCCCTGTGTTTATTTCCAGACAAGACGCACACCGAGGATAAATGAGTGATAAATGAGACCTATTAATACAAGAATATTATCAAATAAGAGGTATTACCCGTAAATTCTGGCAAATGTATAAAATTATCTGCATGTGTCTGTGAAAAAGTAATTTTGAGGATAAACCAGACTAGTCCGCCCATAGCACCCTCCATGGCAACGCAAATGACATGAGTTATTTTTGAAGATATACACAATCGATGTGCACTACAAAATAACCTTCATAGCAAAGGACTGCTAAAAGTGGAGAGCAAAGTAAATATGTAAAGCAAGCTAAAAAGCAAACAAATAAGTTATCTGACGTGACAAAATACATAATGCAAAAGAGAGGTTTGAAAAGGGATGATATTGCCAAATAATGAATACACAGAGCTGTAAAATGATTAGGAAAATTAGAAAACAAATCAATGCAACACAAAAAGAATTGAAGTTTTTATTGCAAGCAATGGAAACAAAATGATGGGTAATTCTTAACCCTCAGGGGAAAAAGATGGAACCATCACATGACAAAAAACAAATCTTAACGTTTGTGGAAGACTTATACAGATATCTATAGCAAAACAAATCCATATACCGTATCCTAGGAATCAACAATGTTCAAAATGAAGACAAGAAAGTTCCACATGTCATACTAGAAGAAGTATAACAAGGGGAAATATATTCTTGCAGCATCATTAAAGAAGTGGGACCAGCAGTTGGAACAAACCCAGTGATACATATTTAATAATGTATCCACAGAAAATGAGTATCTTGTTTGTGATTGACACCTAAATCATTAATTTAAAAGGGAGATAAAACTGGCTTGAATAATAAAACACCCATGAGCTTCTTAGCAAATGTATATACATTGTCGGGAGCAGTGGATACACCATGGCTTGATGATTATGCCTATTTCTAGATGAACATGCATCTGCTATCTGCACTCTTTAGAGTTAGAATAACCTTTTAATGCTCGGGGGGGGGGGGGGGGAAATAAATCTCATTATATGAGCAAATGATAATTTTGACCTTTATTTTGTAAAATCCGTAAAATGTAATCGTTCACTTTTGAGTCTGTCTCATTTGCCCTGGTGGTGCAATTAGAACGGTCAGGTTGTGCGGGAGCATAGGCCAAAATATACTGTAATTAAAATCAAGTAGAATCTCGATAGAGTGGCTTAAAATGGTCAAATTGTAAAAAATAGTGTTGCATGCCACAAATACAATTATTTGGATGCAAGGTTGGCTCACACAGAGATGGAACCTTAACGTTCATGCATTTATTATATGCAGGGCTGTGATATCATCCATCACCCATCATCTATAATATATATTATAGTGACACGGCCTTCCCAAGCCCACTTACTTTTTTAACGAATCAAGGGGCTTTCTCTAATTTGCATTTGTTCTCTTTCTCTCAGCATAATTCCAAACATTCACCTCTCCATGCTTCGTTCCATACTTTCCATCATGTATTACATTTTCATTGTCAATGTCCATGTTTTTGTCAAAGTAAGTTGTATGCACTGACACAGTATATTGCTTTTCATTATCTTTATCCAAAAACACTCCTACCTTTGCTTGCTCACTTCTTTTTATATACAAGTCCTCTTTCAATAAGTGCCCGAGGTGAACATACACTGATGTTATTTCCAGTCGTATTCGTCCAAGTATCGTTATTTGTTAAGTGAACTTGTGGTAAGGGAAATTGTGTTTAGCTTCTTCAGCATAACTTTGCAGCCAGTGGCATAGCGATTGAGTGTTTAGGTGGTGCAACTGTACAGGGGTTCATGAACCAGAGGGGCCCAGGTGTCTGGCTATGAAGAGGGAGGGAAATTGGGCAGGGAAACCCAATTTAATTCCGTGCAGCATGGCCCATGCCAACTATGCTATGGCACTGTTTGCAGACTTTTTAAAACCAAGTTATTAAATTATTTCCTCTAATTCATTGTCATTTGTTATTATAATAATGAGCAAATTTGAGAAGGTTGACATTCTGCATTTATGTTTATATTTTTCTCCAATTCAGTTTTGTACGTTATGTCAACATGCTCTTCATGTCAATTGACATTCTGCCAGTGGATACTCAGAATATTGAGGAGTTTAGCCAGTTTAATACACAAAATGCATGCAGAAATGCATGTTTGTAATTACACTAAAACAGAATAAGGAACGCATGGATCAGGGAAAAAAAATGTAAATAGACATTATAGAACATATGTAACATATTGGTTGAAGGGATGATCACTGATGAAGAACACTCGTGAATGAATAGCAGCCAAAATAGAGAATAGGCCCCGTGAGGATGCCGACTTTGAAGATGGAGCAATGGGGTCAGTTGGATGCTTACATCGTAGGAAATGGATTGTTGCATCGCAAGAGGCCTTCAACCAGCAGTGGGGGACTTTCTGGGGGTTCCATGATAGTGGAAAATGTTGGATTTAAATTCTGGCACAAAAATAGTCTGGAAAGAGTCGTCACTCGCTAGCTGTGCCCACTCGGCGTGGGCTATGTATGCCTATGCAGGCGGATGAGTTGTGTCATCATTGATGCTGGAGTGGCCCCCAGCGGTTTGTCACGTGGAAAGGGGCAAAAATAGTCACTGCTCTCTGCCTTGCAGTGCTGCGTCGGATATAACATAGCAAAATTCTTACGATAACTAACAATAAATAATATTTAAAAACACTTTTTAAAAAACACGCTTAAATGAAATGTACCGTACGAGTAATGGCAAAACTCCACGACTCCAGGAAGTGGCCCAGAAGCTTGCCATAACGTAAGGGACCGTGCTGATTTACTGCCAACGTCAGTTGAGCGTGGACAATTAGACCCAAGACGAAACATAACATAGAAAAAAGAATGTTTAAAAATATTTATTTTTATTTTTAATGATAGAATATAGTATTGTCATGAGTATGACATAAGTATACCAAGTTTTCAGTCGATACCACATTGGGGAGTGAGTTAAAATTGAGTTACAAGATTTCAGGATACGACAACAACAGACAGTGAGTTAAATAAAAGCGTGTAATAATAATAAAAACATTTGTACAGCAATAGATACTGCCCAAATTATATGACATCACTGGAGCGCTTGGCGGCGCGCTTGAATGACTGTTTTCCCCCATTTACAAACCCTCTAATTTCATGTAACAGCCCAACTTAGTTATTCCGACGGTGAAGCAGACTTCTTTTCATATTTGCTCTCTTTTTTTAAAATCCATGACTCCCCGCGTCGTTTCGCTGATGCCTCCCCCCTCTGTTTGACCATTTGTCACCCATAGCTGTCAACCATTACACGGTTTACCCCGTATTCTTGTGCAGGAAAAAATTAGTTTTCATGTCCATACGGCGTACAGCCGTATTCAATATCGGCAAAAACATGTTTTTGGTCTATTTGTTTGTGTTTCTCCTTTGTGATGGGACTTTGTAGGATGAACGTTGAGATTATAAAGGGGAACGGGGTGACCAACAAGGTCTGAATTGGTCTGTAATAAGATAGGGCACTGATAAGGAGTTTAGAGGTATGTAGTATAGTGTATAGTAGTGTATAGCGTAGTGTATAGGATGAACGTTAAGATTTATAAAGGAGCTCGGGTTGACCAATAAGGTCTGAATTGGTCTGTAATAAGATAGGGTACTGATAAGGGGTTGAGAGGATTGTAGTAGAGTGTATTGTCACCGCCACTTAGGGGCGAATAGCGGTTGTTGTTGTTGTTTTTGTTGTTGTTGATGTTGGGGAGCGGTGGTGTAGCAGTTAGCGCGCTGCGCTATGAACCCGGCGACCCGGGTTCGATTCCCGCTCACGGCCAACACCAGTGGCGATTATCTGAACCGGTCCTGGGCCTCCCCTAGGTCGACTCAGCCTCAAATGAGTACCTGGTGCGGTGTGTAGTAAATATCGCCACCAGGGAGACAAAGTTGGCCGGGCGTGGTGCTGGCCACCCACCCCCTCGTGTACCGTTACAGCCTTCATAGGTGCTCGCTAACAGCACTTGCCCCTACAGTCTGTTAAGGCTATATGGGGGATATTTGTAGTGCATAGTGTAGTGTATACGATGAATGTTGAGATTTCGAAAGGGGCACGGGGTGACCAAGAAGGTCTGAATTGGTCTGTAATAAGATGGTGAACTGATAAGTGGTTTAGAGGTATGTAGTATAGTGTATAGTAGTGTATAGTGTAGTGTATACGATGAACGTTGAGATTTAGAAAGGGGCACGGGGTTACCAAGAAGGTCTGAATTGGTCTGTAATAAGATGGGGCACTGATAAGTGGTTGAGAGGTTTGGTCACTCTCCGGTTCTTTTGGCAGTCACGTAGAAAGAAAATAAATTAAACAGAATACGACGTTTCGATTGCAACACAAGCAACCGTCATCAGGTAGAACTAAATATGAGAGGCAAAACACAGACACGGAGACACACAGACAGACACACAAGCAGAGAGAGACAACACAGAGACTCAATGCCTCTCGGTCGCTTCGGGGTGGATTCATTGACATGCTAGTTCCTCTGCTCCAGCAGCTGCCCCAGCAGAACCACCTCTCTCTCTGCCCCCCCCCTCTCTCTATATTTAAGGCCTCGACACAGAAGAATTGGGTCTCTGTGTGTCTCTGTGTTGTCTCTCTCTGCTTGTGTGTCCGTCTGTGTATCTCCGTGTCTGTGTCTCTCTCGCTCTCAAATGTATTTCTACCTGATGACGGTTGCTCATGTTGCAATCGAAACTTCGTATTATATTAATTTATTTTCTTTCGACGTGACTTTGCCGACAGAAACGGAGAGTAATTTTCCTTTAGTCACGAAAACTTCAAATCAGATTTGGTCACCTCGCCTGAGATGACGTCATCACAGGCGGGGGCGGGTCACAGCACAAAGCGCACCCCCCCCCCCCCCCCCGGCGCGCCTGTCGCTGTTGGACGGCCGCGATTTACAAATCGCGTTCTACCCCTCCCCCATGAGCCTCGTCGCGCACCGTCCCCGCCATCCCGCCATCCGCAGGCCCCGACATCGCCTTGTGCTCGTCTCGACGCAGTAGGGTTGACCACTCGCTATACTCACAATACATTCTCGCTGTACTCACAATACACTCTCGCTATGCTCGCGATACGCTCAGTCGTACTCTATATTCATCACAATGCACTCGATATATACTCGCGTTAATGTCGCTATGCTCAACACACGCTCACAATACACTCACTGTACTCGCAATACACTCGCTGTACTCACAATGCACTCACTGTACTCAACGCATGCTCATTGCTCATACACACTTTACTGACAATAACCCACTATACTGACATACTGACTGTACTCAGAATACATTAAATACACTCGATATACTCACAATACACTCGCTATTCGTACTCACAATGCACACTATGCCAAGCACGCTCTCTCCACAGTATACTCACGATATTCACAATACACCCAAGTACACTCACTCCTCAACACACGCTTACTGCACTCACTGTTCAATACACTCACTATATTCAACACTCACTATATTCAACACGTGCTCAATACTCACAATACACCCACTATGCTCAGTATACTTACAATACACTCACAATGCACTTACTCCACTCGCACTATACTAAATATACTCAACACGCTCACTACGCACGTACTATACTCACAATCATAATTAAGGTTTTTGGGTTAGATCGCGTTATTTATAAATGTGTCGTAACCCTCCACCACCCGACACAATGCAATCACTACACTCCGCACCTCCGATTAGCACGGTTGGCTACGTGCGGTGTGAAAGAAGTTCAACATACATGCAATATACTGACAATACACTTGCTATATTCACACACTACTCAACACAAGCTCACTGCACATCGTACTCAATACATTTACTATGTTCAATTCACGACACACTTTACTCACAACACACTCACTACTCTAGATTTGAAGCTTCCGTGACTGCAAGGATCCATACTCTTTGGTTCTATTCGGTAAAGTCACGTAGGTAAAAAAATAAAACAACAAAAAATCACGACTCCAACGCTGTCCTCTGGACAGCCCGGTCCCCTCACCTGATGGAGGCCGCTTGTGTTGTGGCCGAAACGTCGTGATTTTTTGTTTTATTTTTTACCTACGTGACTTTACCGAATAGAGCCAAAGAGTATCGACACTCACTACTCAACACGCGCTAACTAAATCGTATACAGTACTCAATACACTAATCGCAATACAATACACTCACAAATACTAGCAATACAGTAAAAAATGCTCACTATACTCAACACATGACTACCACGCACACGAAACGAAATTACACTTATTTTATACAACACATTCACTGCACACTCGGTCTAATCACAATACACTCACTATACTCACAATACACTCAATACGCACACTTATAGTACTGGGCGATTCTCACTTCCCAAGTCAGCATTTAAATTTGATCATTGTTATAACCCTGATATTGGGATCTTTGAATTGTGGAATCACAATTTGCAGTCACAATATTATTCAAGAATCAATTTCGTGTTACTTCTCGATTGTTATTTTGCACGGTTTTAACTAAATTTGTCTAAATTAACGCCATATATTTGGCATAATTTCTAAATATTCCTTACCCACGTGAACGATTTCATGCCTGTAATCACTTTGAATCGATGACTGAATGCGTCATTACATTCAATATATGTACTATGTGAAATTGTCAAAGCTTGCCTTTTTCGTGACAGCTGCGCACTGCTATTTTCAATATAATTACATTCATTTGAATGAAGCTGCAGGAATTTAATGGCGATGCATACCTTTTTTTTTGTCACGGACGAGTCCTAGGCTGTAAAATAATCGCTATTAAATGGTTGTTACTACTCTAAATGCATAGTATAGTGGCGCTTCCAACGATTTCACGTCAGCTTTAAAGAAATTAATCAGACAAACATGACGTTGGGTACCAGAAGAGATGTGAGGAGGAGGCCTCTCTTTGTGTCAAGACGTGATGTGGAAGCAGCAAGAGAGCGGTATACGCTTTAAATTTCAGTTATATATTCAAAACAAATACAGCAAAGAAGAGCACCAGGTTATACTGCATCCATATGACCAACATAAACGTATTAAGACAAAAAGGGACCCCTATAGGAAACAATTAAGAAGCAATTATAAGGAAAGGAAATGGGGATAAATAGAGTAGGAAGAGATAGAAAGAGTAGTACACACTTGAATATTAGAACCTTATGGTGGGACCCCGGGGTCCCATAAGCCCCCAGCTCTTGCATAAACATTAGATTATAATGTAAACAAAAAGTTTGTTATTTTTCACCAACGGGTTTGAAGGATGGTGGCAAGTGTTTGACTTTCATCCCACTGGGATTTTTGCACAGCGTTGGTGTACGGTGCTTTTTTCTGCAAGACTTTGCAGTGTTTTCCTGGATTTTTCTGTTAAGATGTTTTTTGTTCGTGTTTTTGTTTTTTGTTTGTTGCGGTTGCACCCGATTCAAGAGCCGGATGGCTCACAGGGCTATACCAAATAAATGAAAACTGAAACTGAAATTTCCACTAGATGGCATCCTAACCTCGCTATAATCACACCCGAATGAAGATTTTGAAATGGGAATTACCCGGAGAAAAAAAATATTCCTGCAGCAATTTCCCACAGTAGAATTGAATGCAATTCCTACAGGAATCGTCTGCATTACTCCGTAAACACTCCACTCACCACTCGCCAAACTCACTATTCACCTGACACTGCCGATATACTTATACACACTATACGGAGATATATTCATGCGTGTAAAATAAAAAACATGCACATATATTATACTTTCACAAAACTAAATTGACCTTAAAACATACACAAAGACCTGTATTTTATGTTCCTACATACAGTGAGGGAAAAAAGTATTTGATCCCCTGCTGATTTTGTACGCTTGCCCACTGACAAAGAAATGATCAGTCTATAATTTTAATGGTAGGTTTATTTGAACAGTGAGAGACAGAATACAAACAACTAAATCCAGAAAAACGCATGTCAAAAATGTTATAAATTGATTTGCATTTTAATGAGGGAAATAAGTATTTGACCCCTCTGCAAAACATGACTTAGTACTTGGTGGCAAAACCCTTGTTGGCAATCACAGAGGTCAGATATTTCCTGTAGTTGGCCACCAGGTTTGCACACATCTCAGGAGGGATTTTGTCCCACTCCTCTTTGCAGATCTTCTCCAAGTCATTAAGGTTTCCGAGGCTGACGTTTGGCAACTCGAACCTTAAGCTCCCTCCATAGATTTTCTATGGGATTAAGGTCTGGAGACTGGCTAGGCCACTCCAGGACCTTAATGTGCTTCTTCTTGAGCCACTCCTATGTTGCCTTGGCTATGTGTTTTGGGTCATTGTCATGCTGGAATACCCATCCACGACCCATTTTCAATGCCCTGGCTGAGGGAAAGAGGTTCTCACCCAAGATTTGACGGTACATGGCCCCGTCCATCGTCCCTTTGATGCGGTGAAGTTGTCCTGTCCCCTTTGCAGAAAAACACCCCCAAAGCATAATGTTTCAACCTCCATGTTTGACGGTGGGGATGGTGTTCTTGGGGTCATAGGCAGCATTCCTCCTCCTCCTCCAAACAAAGCGAGTTGAGTTGATGCCAAAGAGCTCCATTTTGGTCTCATCTGACCACAACACTTTCACCCAGTTGTCCTCTGAATCATTCAGATGTTCATTGGCATACTTCAGACGGGCACGTATATGTGCTTTCTTGTGCAGGGGGACCTTGCGGGCGCTGCAGGATTTCAGTCCTTCACGGCGTAGTGTGTTACCAATTGTTTTCTTGGTGACTATGGTCCCAGCTGCCTTGAGATCATTGACAAGATCCTCCCGTGTAGTTCTGGGATGATTCCTCACCATTCTCATGATCATTGCAACTCCACGAGGTGAGATCTTGCATGGAGCCCCAGACCGAGGGAGAATGACAGTTCTTTTGTGTTTCTTCCATTTGCGAATAATCACACCAACTGTTGTCACCTTCTCACCAAGCTGCTTGGCAATGGTCTTGTAGCCCATTCCAGCCTTGTGTAGGTTGACAATCTTGTCCCTGACATCCTTGGAGAGCTCTTTGGTCTTGGCCATGGTGGAGAGTTTGGAATCTGATTGATTGCTTCTGTGGACAGGTGTCTTTTATATAGGTAACAGGCTGAGATTAGGAGCACTCCCTTTAAGAGTGTGCTCCTAATCTCAGCTCATTACCTGTATAAAATACACCTGGGAGCCAGAAATCTTTCTGATTGAGAGGGGGTCAAATACTTATCTCCCTCATTAAAATGCAAATCAACTTATAACATTTTTGACATGCGTCTTTCTGGATTTTCTTGTTATTCTGTCTCTCACTGTTCAAATAAACCTGCCATTAAAATTATAGACTGATCATTTCTTTGTCATTGGGCAAACGTACAAAATCAGCAGGGGATCAAATACTTTTTTCCCTCACTGTATTAACAATAAATTGTAAAAGCATACGTTTGCACGCACATAAACAGGAAATATACACATGTTTGGTAAATGTACAATAAATCACATGTAGATAAACTACCATATTGTGCATTCACAACGGAGTACAGATGAGCGACGCTCACAACAGCGCTGGCCGGCTAAAACGCAGAGATTTAGCACAGTGGGGAGCACAGTTGGTGCATCTGCCAGTCATCTCAGTCAACCCATGGCACTTGAGTCTGTTCCGTGACCTGTCAGCGGGTATTCAATACTTCACGTGGCCTCAAAGTACAAGCGCCGTAGTGACGTCACAGCCACTTTGTGGTGAACTGTGGTTGTTGGCAGTTATAAGCATAAGCACATGCACAGCTGCTGCCATTTGCCACGAGGTGGTGGTGCATTCATCACTGTGCTTGTGCCAGGTTAATTGCACTTTGAGGAGTGCCAATAGCTGTTTGACAACACCATTATCACCCATAACCTCTACCATCTCCCTGCATGACATTAAGAACAAATGAGTTACGCAACAATTTGACTTGGTAATTTCTGAAAAAATAAATTAGACACGTATCTTTTTTACATGAACACAAATCGGTGTTCTGTTACCATATCTTGTAAAACAACTGTTTGGTTTCATAGTTATTCTATATATGTATAAAAATGAAAGTGACATTGCATTCTTTTTTCATCCACCAATTTCTACTCCCCATGAGCTGGTGAATATTTAGTTTTTGCAGAGTAGAAAAACATTGTTCCCATGCATCACTCCGCTTCCTCTTTGACCTTTCCGAAATGTACCACCAAATGATCCCAGTAAGTTGTCTTGCTATTAGGCCACTCAATGTCTGTCAGGACTCAACCTTCCATCCTCACAGCTGAACCTTCCCACTACTCATGTGGGCTCTTAGTTGGGCGTCAACTCTATTTAGCTTTCTAATCTAGTCAATGTGCAGAAAGTGAACTTTGCTTATGCAAAGATTCTTCACAGGATGCATACATATTCATATTAACAAGTACACTGCTTTGATGAATACACATTATTTTGTGTTTACCATTCATTTCAGAACCTACCAAGACTTCTGACCACAATGAGTTTGCGGAAACAAACCCCAAGTGATTTTCTGAAGCAGATCATCGGTCGCCCTGTGGTGGTGAAACTCAACTCAGGGGTGGATTACAGAGGTAACACTTCACATAATGGCCTTACATTTTGAACATACCTATGTTATAGAAATTGGCATAAATGCATTGAAATCAGGTTAAAACGATTAAATTTAACATGGAGTATTGCCAACTAGGCATTTGATGATTCACATTTGGGAACTTTTTTTCTAATAGCAAAATAATGAAAAGAGAATAGACTTTACCCTGTCTGACAATAATACATGTGTTAAGGTGTTCAGACACCAAATAGACACCTATTCTAAGGCAACAAGTGTACACGATCCACACAAACATGTTCTGATGAAGTCACGTAGAAGGGAAACAATAAAATAATAAAAATATTAGAACAATAAAATTCTCACGACGTTTCGACTGCAACACAAGCAATCATCATCAGGTGTGAAAACAGCAAGCAAATTTCAAATGCTGTTGTTTTCACACCTGATGATGATTGCTTGTGTTGCAGTCGAAACGTCGTGAGAATTTTATTGTTTTATATTTTTATTATTTTATTGTTTCCCTTCTATGTGACTTTACCGAAACAACCAAGAATATGAATCCCTGCAGTCACGAAAGCTTTAAATCAAAATGTTCTGATAATATATGCATTGTCTTTGAAACTGATTGGCCTGTGCCAGAGATAGCCTTCTTTATGGCCTTGTCTCACCTTTGTTAGACCAGGGAACACCAAAAGGTGAACAGTGTAAGGCAGTGAAAATATCAGAGCATTAATAGACGTAATGCCTTGCTATAGTTGTCTATTTAGTGTTTGAACATCTTAACACCTGTATTATTGCCAGAAATTTTAAAGCCTATTCTCTTTTCCTCATTAACCACGTTGTTACGGTATTTTATTAACTGTCACAGTTGAATACTCTCAATGTGTTTTGTTTGTTAATTATGTTTTGTATTGCCTTCTCAGGTGCTCTATATTGCTCGTTATATATTAAAAGTACAATAGTAAGCAAAGGTTTGACGAGCATGACTGCTGATGAGAATTAGAATGTTGAAAACAGTACAGTTTGCCTGCTTAGCAAATATTGCGGGTGAAGATTTATCCAAGACACCCATCGGCTGATGGATGAAAACGTTATTTTATTTCATAACATGAATAGACTTAATCTTGGCATTACTCACTTATTTATATGATTTTGTTTATAATACATATTTCAACAATATTTGATCTAAAATGCCAAAATTTTCCCAGAGCTAACGTTGAGTGTTTCCTGTCCCCTGAATAATACATCAAAGTTTCACTTCATACTGTATGTGTATCTTTTATATATGTGAGTTTTATGTCAATTTACCATGAACACTCAAATACTAATTACTAAGTTTTCTAAGTGATTAGATGCACATTGTACAACGAAATACTCATCAATTCTAAGTGCATACTTGTTTGAAATGTACTGCATGTGTTTGTATAAGAAGTATATTTGGCCTGAGGTGCATGTGGTGAAACTGTCGTTTCTAGGGGTTCTGGCCTGCCTCGATGGCTACATGAACATTGCCCTGGAGCAAACGGAAGAGTATGTCAATGGACAACTAAAGAACAAATATGGTGATGCCTTCATCAGAGGAAACAATGGTCAGTTTACTTTAAATAGTTTTTTGTTAAACCGATGTAATGACATTATTTTATACCTTATGTGTATTATTAGAAAGAAGACGTTGACCTGCTATATATGCTGTTGGAAGCAGTTTTCTTAACTTAAATTGTAAATTGGCCAAATGAGTGGGAATTGATATTCTTGGGTCTTTTGGTAAAGTTACGTAGATAGGTTCAAAGAAAATAAAAAAATAGCAAAAAACTACAACGTTTCGATCGCAACACAAGCGGTCAAGATTTAGTGGGAATTGGTGATATAAAGAATATTCATTGGGTTTTTCGGTAAAGTCACGTATGTAGAAATACCATAAAATTATATTAAAACAAATCAATCACGACGTTTCGACCGCAAACAAGCGATCTTCATCAGGTGTAAAAACAAATAGCGAGGGAGCATATAGGGCGACACCAAAGCAACACATAGAGAGCGTTAAACTGCACGGAGGTAAATACAACAAGAAGATGAGAGACGAGAATTCAACAAACCTAAGAAAAAATTATGTGATGCAAAACCAGTCAGGTCAACAACACAGTTAGACACTTACCTGGCCGACCACGAATTTCAGAAGTGCTACATTTCGTGTTCATTCTCTGGATTGTACATACCAGAGTGAACAAATACGAGGTACAAGTCACATATACAGAGACATCAAGAGGCAAGGAGAGGAAAGACGGACAGAGAAGCAAGGAAAAGGAAAGAAGAAAAAGGGCCGGAGAGATGAACAGACAGACGCCTTAAATAGAAAAGTAAAGGTGGGGGGGAGGGGCCGAAGAGAGCAGGGTATCACGGCAGCATAGGTGGGGGGAGGGGTAGGAGAGGGCAAGGGGTACAATACGTTTAGGACAGGACTGTAAAGGTAACTTCCCCGTAGAAGTGTGTTAATAAAGAATTAAAGCTTTCGTGACTGCATAAAATACTCATTGTTTTTTTTCGGTAAAGTCACGTATGTAGAAATACCATAAAATTATATTAAAATAAATCAATCACAACGTTTCGACCGCAACACAAGCGATCTTCATCAGGTGTAAAAAACAAATAGCGAGGGAGCCTATAGGGCGACACCAAAGCAACACATAGAGAGCACGTGATTGATTTATTTTAATATAATTTTAAGGTATTTCTACATATGTAACTTTACCGAAAAAACCAATGAGTATTTTATGCAGTCACGAAAGCTTTAATTCTTTATAAAGAATATTTTTCACACTTTTCATCAACTTTATGTAAGTCCACTGCTCCATGAAGTCCTTTACATGGGTATCTTAATCATGGGAGTTTTTTTAAGTCATCCTTTACCGTGCTGGTCAGTGTCTGTTGGTGAGGACCCTGGACCGAAACAGATTATAGATATCACTCTCTGCTGATGTGAGCCATGGCCGAGCATCAATCTCGCGTTTGTAGCGCAGTGCAACAACCAATGTATCGCCAATCCATCCCCACCTCAGTTGGTGTATATTACAGAAAATGTAGGCGGAACTGAGGGTGAGGTCATAATTACACTTTGTAATTTTTCTACACATTTTATAATCCTGTTGAAATGAGAATTGAGCCCAGGCAAGCATTACCAAGTGCATTTATGCTAGTTACAGTTATATTGAAATGAGAATTGAACCCAGGAATGCATCACTGTATGGTTAATGTAAACACTTTCAATCAGGAAACATGGAATATAAAATGCTGTATCCAACTTAAATCCACTCTTCCTTTCTGCCCTATTGCACGAAACGTCTTCTATTTTATACTTTCCTATGAAGGCAGCATTTTTGGTGAATGTGTTGAATTCTTTCAATTTGTGAAGTGTGGTTTCCAGCGGGATAGAAATCAAGGGTGTCTGGAGGACCCGGAAATCACCTGAATTGTAACCTGTTCCCCAACTTCTAACCCCGAATAAGTCTCCCTTGCCCTTGTCATTTCTAGCCAGTTTTATAAATGTTTGTATATCTACGTCATTAAAACGCTTATTCGCTTCATGTGTGCATAAATGTGATTGAGAGTCTACTCGATATTGCCTAATACATTTAATTACCACTTGCAAACTTGCATTTCTGTCAGATTAAATTCATGACGCTTACACCATGAATCGCAATTAGATGTTTTTTTGGATGTACACAACTATGCAAATTTGTTGTCAAAATTCAGCACTTTTTTTAAAACAATGATTCCCATTAAGATATTGTCATATACATAAGTTTAAATTTGTATATCCTAATTAACTATTCCAGAAGTTTCCAATGGATTGGAAGAAATACTGACATGTTACGTGGAGAGACAGATATGAAGGAGATATTGTCTGCTTATTAATGTTATTTATGTTCTCCACAATGACACTCATTACTATTTTGTGTGATTATATACACATTTTGAACTAGGGCCCATTTTAGACAGTCCTTGCCTATAACATCTGGCAGTTCATAAGTATTGGTGGAAACAAGCTTGACTGCTGATGAGACACTGTCGAAACCAGTTAAGAGTTGTCTTTTGTTGCTGAAATTATGCAATAGGCCGATTGATTGTGTAAGAAATAATTCTATTTTTTTTTTGGACAGGCATATATACATTTTCTCTGCTTATCTATTTTGTTATTGCATTCGTTGGTCTAATTAATTACCAACTAATATAAAGGACAATTAATACATTGTCTATGCTATTTATATTTTTGGCGGTAATATGGCCAAGCGGAGTAAGTTTGAATCCAGTGACTACCCTGATTATTACTGTGGGTGTAATGAGCAAAATACGTGCCATCTATTTTACAGTGGACATTAAAAGATCTGACATCATTTGCAAGAGTAGGCCGTTATGTGCAGGTGTCAGGGTCCAATTTTTTTAATTATTTATTAGTGTAAACAGCAATCATCATCTCTACTGGCAGCAGAATTCTCCAGGTCATTCTTGCAAATCAGTTCTCATCTGGTTAAACAAAAAATGTTTTTTAACGATCATTTTGTTATGTATTGCATGCTGTGTGTTAACAGTCCTTTACATTAGCACCCAGAAGAGGAGAATATGAGGTGCAAGTTACAACAAGATCCAGCAGTGAAAAAGAAAAGGATCAAATATGTGCTCTGATGTGCATCACCTGTATTTTACTTTTTGAAAAATATCAAGAATTTAGTATTTTTATATTCTTTGTAAAAGTGCAAGGTAGTTATTTACTGCATCTAAAGTCAAACCATTTTTTGTCAATCTAAATGGAAAAAAATACTAATTTAAATGTATCTACCATTGCATTTCTTGTTTTTGTCTTTGCTTTTTGATGTGTAACTTTTGGGGGATTTTATACCCCAGGCATATGACTTTTGCAACTGGAGAGTGTCTCATACAAGTACAACTGTTGGATAACTATGACTTTGTTGATTGATCAGTAAATACAAGAATTGAGAGTACCAAAAGTATTTTACGTCTCTTTATTTACAATGATAGGGCCTGTATCTGTCAATGCAATCCATTAGGCCATGGTCATTTCTCCACCTAATCACCACAATGACACTGGCGCCATTTAAACTCCAACTTAAAAATTACATTGTCGCACTTCATATTTAGTACCAATTTAGCATACATTGTGTACCAATTGTGCACATATCCCTGGTATTCGGACATATCCTGCAGTGCTTGGGGCCAATCTGCACCCACTATGTTCCTCATTCACTGATCAAAATAATTTCCTCTATATGCAGTTATAAAGTCGTATGTATTTCACTCGCAATCACTTAGTCAACTAGCTGACATTTTTTTACACATACAGCTATTCTTATAAAGACCACGCAATCTGCATCTAAGGAGCCTTCACTTTATTTTACGAGGTATTTGAATGACGTCCAATTTACTCATCTTGCTATCAACAACTCAAGTGCCTCTAGCTACGAGTGACACTATGCTGTACATAATGAACTTCAATGATAAAGGCTAAAGGTATTAGGAATGGGACTAATCCATTGGGAGCCGAATCAATTCCAAACTTCAGCTAAGGATTTTAAACCGAATCAGGTTTTACATAAGTATTGCTAGAAGTAAAATAATATGCAAAAAACATGTGCAATCATGTTAGTGATGAATATGGTGTTTGGCTCAACCGGTGGCCACCGCCAGACTTCACTGTTATGAAGAGATGAATATTCCATATCCGCGCCAGCGCCAGAAAACGAATGAAACTGCAAACGGAAGCCCTGCCCCCCGAGTGGTAGTGGTGGGGCGTGCCAGTTATGTACACTTTAAGCCTTAACTTCAAGATTTGCTTTACTGTGTTCCTTTCCTACACCTTGCCTGTTCATCTGCCAAATAATCCTCAGTCTGCACTTTTAATCAATTAAATAGTACTCTTGTAGTGTTCGATTTCACTCGGACAACTTCTGTCTTTCTTCGAACACCGCTTTATTTACAACTCTCAGCATGTCCTCCACATTCCACAGTATCCTGGTCGCCACGGCTCACTCGCCGTGCTTCACTCGACTCGCTCGCCACCTTTGTCTCTCCACTCCCCACGATTACTCTGCTTACTCCGCCGCTAACTTCTTCGTCTCCGCTCTCCGCTATCACCGTCGCTATGCTCTCTCCACTGCTAACTACTTCGTCTCCGTTCACCGCTATCACCGTCACTATGCTCTCTCCACTGCTAACTGCTTCGTCTCTGTTCACCGCTATGACCGTCACTATGCTCACTTCACTGCTAACTGCTTCATCTTTGTTCACCGCTATCACCGTCACTATGCTCACTCCACTGCTAACTGCTTCATCTATTCTCCGCTATCACCGTCACTATGCTCACTCCACTGCTGGTTGTTCTTCGTCTTCAGCTCCGCTATCGCTACGCTCTCTCCACTGCTGGCTATTCCCGTCTTCAGCTCCGCTATCACTACGCTCTGTCTCCAAGCTCTCCACTCTTCAATTCCCCGCTGTTGACTCCGACTTCAATTTTCCCCGCTGTTCACTCCGAGCTCTCCAACTTCAACAACCCCGCTCCAATTGCCCACCCCCCAATTTATCCCTGCTCTCATTACTCCCCAATTAATTAGTCCGCGTCCCAACGGCACTCTGCGTGACCGTACACCTGTTTCTCCTCCAGACCTTTAGGCGCCACTCTAGCCCTGGCAACAACACCAACCAATCACAGCCATCCACGGCTCTCCCAGCTCAATTGCCTCAACATAACCTGCACTGTATTTGCCTTCGCTACAGGCTGACCCAAGATAACCCGTACTAATAAAGTATTAAAGCTTTCCTGACTGCATAAAATTACTCATTGGTTTTTTTCGGTAAAGTCACGTATGTAGAAATACAATAAAATTATATTTAAACATAACAATCACGACGTTTCGATCACAACACAAACGATCTTCATCAGGTGTCAAGAACAAATCATGGAGGTAAATACAACAAAAAAGATGAGAGACGAGAATTTAACAAACCTAAAAAACATGTGAAGCACATCCAGTCAGGCCAACAACACAGACACTTCCTGGCGGACCACGAATTTCAGAAGTGTTAAATTTTGTGTTCAACCTCTGGATTGCACATACCAGCATAGACAGAATGAAAAAATACGAGGTACAAGGTTAGTAGAAATACATATACAAGTCCACCAAGAGGTAAGGAGGGAGGTAAGACAGAGAGGCAAGGAGAGAGAGAGGGGGGCCGGAGAGATGAACAGAAGCTTAAATAGGAAATAAGGTTGGGGGGGGAGGAGGGGCCAGAGAGAGCGGCAGCTCAAAAAAGCACATCTTACACATACACAGAACCAGGGGGGGAGGGGGGGGAGAGGTGTGGGAACAGGCTTGGGGTGCACATTTAGGACATAATTACAACGGTAACTTCCCCGTGGAAGTGTGATAATAAAGTAGTAAAGCTTTTGTGACTGCATAAAATTACTAATTGTTTTTTTTCCGGTAAAGTCACGTATGTAGAAATACAATAAAATTATATTAAAACAAAACAATCATGACGTTTCGATCACAACACAAGCGATCTTCATCAGGTGTCAAGAACAAATCATGGAGGTAAATACAACAAAAAATATGAGAGATGAGAATTTAACAAACCTGAAAAAACATGTGAAGCACAACCAGTCAGGCCAACAACACAGTTAGACACTTCCTGGCAGACCACGAATTTCAGAAGAGTGTTAAATTTCGTGTTCAACCTCTGAATTGCACATACCACCCCTCCCCCCACCGCTTCTCTCCTTGCCTCTCTGTCCGTCTTTCCTCCCTCCTTACCTCTTGGTGGACTTGTATATGTATTTCTACTGACCTTGTACCTCGTATTTTTTCACTCTGTCTATGCTGGTATGTGCAATCCAGAGGTTGAACACGAACTTTAACACGCTTCTGAAATTCGTGGTACGCCAGGAAGTGTCTAACTGTGTTGTTGGCCTGACTGGTTGTGCTTCACATGTTTTTTAGGTTTGTTAAATTCTCGTCTCATCTTTTTTGTTGTATTTACCTCCATGATTTGTTCTTGACACCTGATGAAGATCGCTTGTGTTGTGATCGAAACGTCAACTTTACCGAAAAAAAACAATTAGTAATTTTATGCAGTCACGAAAGCTTTACTACTTTATTAACACACTTCCACGGGGAAGTTACCGTTGCAATTCTGTCCTAAATGTGCACCCCAAGCCTGTTCCCACCCCTCCCCCCCCCCGCTTCTGTGTATGTGCAAGATGTGCTTTTTGAGCTGCTGCTCTCTCTCTCTGCCCCCCCCCCCAACCTTATTTCCTATTTAAGCTTCTGTTCATCTCTCCGGCCCCCTCTCTCTCTCTCCTTGCCTCTCTGTCCGTCTTTCCTCCATCCTTACCTCTTGGTGGACTTGTATATGTATTTCTACTGACCTTGTACCTCGTATTTTTCATTTTGTCTATGCTGGTATGTGCAATCCAGAGGTTGAACACGAAATTTAACACGCTTCTGAAATTCGTGGTCCGCCAGGAAGTGTCTAACTGTGTTGTTGGCCTCACTGGTTGTGCTTCACATAATGTTTTTTAGGTTTGTTAAATTCTCGTCTCTCATCTTTTTTGTTGTATTTACCTCCATGATTTGTTCTTGACACCTGATGAAGATCGCTTGTGTTGTGATCGAAACGTCGTGATTGTTTTGTTTTAATATAATTTTATTGTATTTCTACATACGTGACTTTACCGAAAAAAAACAATGAATAACCTGTACTGTCTGTGTGATCATGTAATCACGCTGTTTGTACTACGCACCTTCCTACTCCACTACACTATCATTGGTATCTTTCCCCATGTGGCTCAGTGCGATGGTTCTGTAATTTTTACAATCGGTCAGATCTTTCTTGGGTATCGTCCCAAGTATGGATTTTGTCGACTTCTCTGGTATTTTTATTTCTCTCCATACTTGCTTGCATAGCTCATAGATTTATTTTATAAGTTCCTTCCCTCCAGACTTTATAATTTCTCTCCTAATGCTGTCCACTCTTGGACTTTTGTTTTTCTTCAGATGTTTTATTGGCTTTTCTACCTCTTCATACAATATCATTTTCATCATTCCTCGGTGGTGGGGATATTATTTCTAGTTCATCCAGCAGCTCTTCATTCTCTTGATCCGTATCCCTATACAAATCTCTGCAATACTCGGTCCATCTCTTTTTTGTCTATTCTTTATCAAGATATTACCGTCCTTGCCTTTTATTGCTGTTTGCCATGGTTGCCACTTCCTATTTGTTTTCTTGACTAGTTTGTACAGCTCCCTGGTCTTGTATTCTCCAGCATAGTATTCAATGTCACTTCATTGATTTTCCAGCTATTTCTGTTTATCCTTTCTTGCCGATGTACTTAGCTCATTGCATAGCTTTTTGTACTTCGTCGCCATCTCATGCGATTCCTTTATCTATAGCTTTATTTTTTTATTTTCCTGTGCTAGTTCCAATGCTTTCTCAGTTCATAATTTTATTTTAGGTTTTACAGCTTAGGCTATTGCTACTTCTACTGCTTGCTCCACTATCTTCTTTAGTGCTAATTCCTTGCTGACTATGCTAAGGGGTTCTATTTTTGTCCCTGTAATTCTACTCTATTTCCTCTTTATATTTCCTCCTTATCTTCTCGTTCTCGAGTGCATCTATGTTCATCTTCTCATATTGCGTTCTGGATATACGTTTTAGTTGTAGGTTGCATACTACCAAGTTGTGGTCTGATGACATCGGCTCCTTGGAATGTTCTGCATAGTCAAACTTATATTTTTCCAGCTTCTGTCGACCATTACCAGATCTGTCATATGTTTGTTTTCCATCCAGTGCTCTCTGTCCATTTTCTGAAGTATTTTTGAACTTAGTATTACATATTAGCTTGTCATTTGGAGCAAATTCTAGTAGTTTCCCACCTCTTTCATTTCTTTCTCCATGTCCATGATGCGTTCCCATATGGCGTTATCCTTCCCAA